GCGTCGGCAGTTGGAGGAGGAGCTTGCAACCTCAGCGAAGGCAGCCCCCAAAAAGTTTTGCTTACGTGAAGCGGCGCCTGAGGCCAGAAATTGACTTAGCTGTGTTCGAGGACACTGACGGACATTCCCCGACCTCTAGCGTTGAACGTGGGTCCGCATTGGCGGAGCACTTCGCTTCCGTAGTTAAAAGTGGGCTTGCGCCTAAGCCGAGTTCGACGTGTGCAGCTCCTGCTGTACTCGTGGGTCTAGATTGCGGTGTAGAAGATGTCCGCAGTCTACTCGCCAGTCTTGACGGCACGAAACTTGCTGGAATTGATGGACTTCACCCGCTAGTTTTAAATTTCTCGTCGGCTATCATCTCCCTGCCGTGACCGATCTGTTCAACAGATCGCTGTTCGAAGGTGCATTGCCGAGCGACTGGAAATGTTTGGTAGTGAAACCGATTCCAAAAGGCGGTAACCCACGCAGTGTGACTAATTACTAACCGATGTCTCACTTCTGTTTTGGCCAAGGTGCTCGAGAAGATTGTGGAAAAGGGTCTCCAGCTGCTGGAGTCGAAAAATCTCCTAACACCGGTACAGCACGACTTCAAGAAGGGCCGCTCGTGCATCACCAACCTGCTGTTGACGCTGCAGGAGTGGTTGCTAGCGTTGAACCAGGGGAGATCAGGGGATGTTATCTACATTAATTTCACTAAAGCTTTTGATAAAATGAATCATGTGGTCCTGCTCCACATGTTGAGTATGTGTGGTGTTTGCGCACTGCACCAGTGAATCAGTGACTTCCTCAGAGAGAAAATGGCGGGTACAGGTGAGTGACCACCTAACGGATTGGTACCCGTCCACTAGCGGGATACTTCAAGTCACAGTGTTGGGGTCCATTTTATTCCTGATCCACATAAACGAAGTGCCTCAGCTCCTTCGGTTTCCTTGTGCACTGTTCGCAGACGACTCGGAGATTTGGTGGGTTATTGATCCTTTCGAGGACTGTGATGTCCTTCAGCAGTACCTCGACAGTCTGTCCCGGTGGTCTACATAAGTTGACCTACTGGTCGAACCGGCCAAATCCTCATTTATGAGTTTGGGGAGGAATGGTAATGGGCGTGCGTGCACTCTGGCCGGCCACTCGCTGCATTTCGCCAATTCCGTAATGGATATAGGCGTACTCTCACGCTGCGACCTGAAGTCTGTCGACAACACGAACAGACTGTATGCAAACGGACTACGCCTGCTTTGGGAATTTAGACGCAGCTCCTGCACTTGGTCTGAAGAGATTGCCACCCGTCTTCTCTCTTCCATGATAAGACCTGTGCTTGAGTATGGCTCACTCGCCTATTGTCCGATCACAAAAGGTGGGGTGCAGACTGGAACAACTCCAGCATGTAGCTACCTGACTAATTCCCAGTTTACGGTGTGTCGTACGAGGATCGATGTAGGAGTCTAGCATTTTATACCCTGTCATATCATCGGCTTCTAGTTGAGCTCATTATGCCGCACCGGATACTGCACCTAGGCCACTTCCCTATGTTGAAGCCGCTGCTGCACGTTTGCACACCAAACAGGTGATACAGGACGAGCCATAGCGGGTTAGTTTAGAGGCTCCATCGGCGGCTGAGGTCCGAAACGCGATCACAGCCCTCAATCCTTTTCGTGCTGTTGGTCTGGATTCCCTCCCATCTGCACTATTTACGGATGAAGGTGAGGTCCTCTGCAGAGCAATGACCTCCTTGTTCGAACGTGTTTGGAAGGAAGTGTCCCTGCCAACTGGAGTGAACCGATTATAATGGCAATATATGAGAAGGGCAGTCACACAAACTGTGCTAACCACAGGGGCATTAACCTAACGCCAGTTGTATTAAAATTATTGGCCTCGATTCTCGTTCATCGCCCTACTGTGGAGCGAGAATCACGGATTAAGGAAGAGAAGGCAGGCTTCCGCCCCAGACTTGGCTGTATTGACCACATAGTCACTCTGCGGCAGGTGTTAGAGCAACACCACGCATAACACAGACCTACAACAGCTGACTTCCTCGACTTCAAGAGTGCGTCCGATTCAGTATATCGATGCATTCTGTCCGAACTACTTGCGCGGTCTTGTGTTCCCACGAAATATGTGGACATCTTACGTGCTCTGTACTCGAACACGACAGGCCGCGTCAGCGTCTACGGTGGCCTGTCGAATAGCTTTCCGACAGCAAGGGGCGTTCGTCAGGGTTGTCCGATTTCCCCGTTTTTGTCAACTTTCGTCATGGACTGCATCATGGTGTGTTCCGTTACGGAGCCTCACGATGCTGGCGTTGAGGTACTGCCTTGTGATCTAGTTGATCTTGATTATGCGGGCTACATTGTCCTGTATTTTAACGATGTTGGGACGGCGTAATCAACTCTGGATAACCTCTTTAGAGTGGTCCCATTATTTGGAATTTGCTTCGCACCTTCAAACTTCAAAGCGCTGTTACAAGACCCAGTCATTTGATGACCCCTTGATCCTTGATAACGAGGAACTCGATGTGGTTGATCGATTCACTTACCTTGGCAGCTACATCAGCAACGATGGACGCATAGCAACTACCTACTTGAACCTTCGGCATCTTTGGCGACAGAATGGAGTTCCTCTCCGTCTGAAAGCCTTGTTTACAAGGCCACCGTGAGGGCCGTCCTACTCTATGGAAACGCGACATGGCGCATTCGGTCTGAGGATCTGAAGTTCCTTCAACTCACCATCGTTGTCTGCAAAGTATTGCTGGTGTCGGGTGGCACCAGCGTGTCCTCAACAATGATGTGCGTAAGCGAGTACTAAGCCATTGTAACCAAGCTAGTTCTTTAGAACAACAGCGAACACTGAATAAGTTACGTCGGCTTGGGTATGTGCTACGTACGCCTGGTCACCGCTTTCCTAGGTGGGCCTTGTTTGCCAGATGTAGGGTGGCGCAAGGTTCGAGGTGGATAAAAGTTGACTTAGCCGCAGGGAATGAAGTCACTGACGACAAAACTGAGTGCCGTCGGTCCGTCTCGCCTTCCGGACTGGAGTCCACGTGACCCTCCTTGTGCTTGGCTTGAAACTTAACAGGATTTTGCTCGCGGTCGACACCAGTGGCGTGTCTGCTGTCGTCTCCTAGTCGGATTGCCTGTTTAAACTGTGTTTGGTGCTGAGTTATTTGCCGGGTAATGCCTGATTATGACGCGTGGCACTGAAAGCCACAAAGGAGCTGTCTAGCTGATGCCGCCTTATGTTTGAACGATAGCCAGCTATTTATGACGATATGTTGTTAACACATGGTGTAGGCGCCTTGAGCCGGAATGTTTGTTTAGGACCTTAAGGTTTTCCGGTAAGCCCCCTTCTCTCCCTCTTATTTTTATTCGTTCTGTAGGTCATCATGGTTGTATGTCAGCGAAGTATCAGTCCAAGTGGCTGATGTGCTGTTTTTGTTGTTTGTTTGTCTTCCCTATGTTGTGGCCGCTGCGGCACGTTCGCGCACCAAACAGCACACGCGGACATCAGTACAAGCTAGTTTACACGATTTAAAACGCATCACTCACCGTCTATGCTTCGAGCTACGAGTGGTGAAATATTGGAACAGGTTTCTGGAGACGCTAGTCGAGACGAAATTGGTGTCGGAATTTAACTGATTCCTTGACATCCGCTTTGCGAACTACAGATATCGGGAGCGTAACGCACCCGGTCACGATATAGTGCAGCTGCAATCTTCTGACACGGCGCAGGAATCAGCGACGTGATTCCGCGCATGTGCCCGATACACCTATGCTGGGGCAACACAGATTTTTATCTTCCCTCTCTGTTCTCAGTATTCAGTATCCATCATCTAGCTGAGCTTCTGGGGAGTTCACACGACCTACCCACCAACAACAGTGACGTCTGGACTGGTAACACAGAGAAACAGTGTGTTCAGTTTGTGGTATATGTTCTTGGCGGCATCAGAGCTGCAGTCGTTGGGCACATAGCTGGAAACCACCAACAAACAAGGTCTAGTAATACTTCGCGACTTAACCCTACATGGTATCGTCAGACGAGCTGCAAACGAACGGCTGTTCACCAGAATCCAACTAACCAACGATGATTCGGCTTTGGAGCTGAGAGCGATGCCCATCTCAGCATCGGACGCGTGTAACCAATAAAGAGAGGACAATCCGGGCTCAGCTAGTCCAACGACCCTGTGAGGATCCTCGAACCCATTTTCCGGCATGCAATACACATCGATACCCAATTTCTCCAACCTGCGCGAGAGTGCAACCTGTTGACATGTTTGTCTTGGAATACGAATATTGAACGCAGTCGTGTAAACGGGACAGCATGGCCTTGTAAATGGATGTTGCCGATAGGCGTCCAGTGGGTGGTGCGGAAACAGCTGCACATGACAGAGCTCCAGTGATATTGCAGCGGCTGTCAACTAAGTCAATAATTACAGAATGGGGTTTAGTAGTGGGCGTAGGGGTAGAGTAAGGTAGACCTGTGTTAACAGAAGGAGACAGCAACAGTAACATGTGTTCGCTTATCTGCCAAGCTGTATGCAGCATTTTAGGCGACCCTTGTAAAGCTTTGCAACGGGTGATGCAGGATGTCCTTGAAGTTTGACGAAATGGTTATGGTTGTCCGTGGGTTGAGATACTGCCAGGGCGCCAAAATCTAGACAACAGGACGATTAGGATCTTCAAACTAAACTCTTGGCTGGAAAGCCTGCCCACTATGCAGCGATTTTGCAGAAACGGCCTCCACCACCTTTCGAACCTCTAACTGGGGGACCAGAAAATTGAGTTCGTCTGACCTCTAACCATTAATCGGCCTGATTGGCGTAACTCTAAAGAGACCCTAGTCCGCCACTTAATATAGCTCATTTGGCCAAAGTTGTACACAGACCGTCGTTCACATCAAGATCCACTCTCGTTGCGACGAACAGTGTGTCGGTGTACTGTTGATGCCTTTGCTGCCTTACTGTGTTGCATCGCTACTCGAGGACGCATAATTTCCCTCTCCTTTTTTAGTTCTTTGGCACTATTTCAACTGATTGTACGCTACGTTACCTACACTGCGAGCGGTGGCTTGCTTCCACCAGTGATGAAGGTCGAGGACGTGAGTAGGTGCGTTTCTTGTTATTTTGCTAGCTCCCAATCTATTCCGATTATCCTGAAAACAATGTGGAATATCGGCTGGAGGTTAGACCCGAAGGCTTTATTCAGTCGAAGCTCATCAAATTCATAAAACCTGTGAGAGTGCAGTTCCAGAAGTGGTTTGCATGTTTTGAGGTAAGTCATTCAAGCTAAGACATCAACTGGATGCAGCAATCTACGGAGCAAAGGGTGACCCAAGCGTCAATTACCAGCAAATGTAGCTCCTGTCTTTGCTAAAAGCAGTTTCTTCCAGCCATTTACCAACGGATTCGAGATGAGCCCATCATTCTGGCTCGTGGCGGCTTCATAACTCTATGTGGTTTGGGTGGTGTCATCATGGGATACAGAGGTTTGGTCCAATTCGTTTACGTATCTTTCCAGGTGGCACTTTCCGCAAAATTTCCTACGCAACTCTGTCCGCTACTCTTGCCACTGCCGCCTGTTACCCCTCCGCCACCTACAACTACGGGGTTCGAGCTTTGAATTTCGGTAGCACCAAGTTCCTTAATTGGAAAGAAGAGTTAACGAAAAAGGTGGGTGCATGATTCTCACTCCGCTGTGTCAGTAGCTCTCTGGTGCTTGCATTTGGTCGAATGCGTCACTGCTGCGCAACAGTATGAGCCTTCTTGATTAGCATTCTTCGTCACTGCTATTTTGCTATTTTCGTTAAATCCGTAAAACATTTGCCGAACTCGCTGAATGAATGCGCACAAAATTCCTGCGTTGTACCTCACAGTCATGTAACTGATGTGTTTCCTGAACATGGTTCACCGATTATCAGCACTTTGACATTAATTTGATATCAGAGTATTTTACATCATTCTGTGTGGGCACGACATGTATCTCGGCACGATTGTTAGCCCTGTGTGGACCCCAGCCGGTCGCTTCTTTTCCACACCGTTCTTTTTATTTACACACTTTGCTTGATCTCAGCTTGTCGAAAGAAATTACACTTTTTGTGGCAAGTGGTACCGGTACATCAGGTAATTCGTTTAAACTTAGGCTCGTTTTTAAACACCAGCGCACTGGCTTCAGCATCACCCGCTAACTAGCGTAAGCGGATATATTAAGGCGTTTCATCTGCCCATGGTTAAAACAAACAGTCTTCTGCTATGGCCATATCTCTGCTCCGCACGATCTTGCTGGCGACATCACAGCAATATATATATATATATATATATATATATATATACATATATATATATATATATATATATATATATATATGGTTGGCGGCATCCGGTTTCGGACTAGTCTGTCACTGTGGCCAGTCACAGGACGCCTGCGCCTACAGAGGGACCATGGGTGGCTTGTGCTGCATCACCCACAGCTCCAACCACACACCACATATCCAGTGTAAACCCGAAGGAATAAGACCGGGAGGCACGTGGATGGGAGCCCCGTTTCATCAACGGAGCTGGCCACACTCCTTCACAGGCAAACACAAGCACGCTGTATTTGGGGAATCAACCGCACACAAGGCGGTGGCTGGATCGTAGTCCGCTCCACACTGAGGGCATGGAACCGCTCTTTGAGCCTAGCACGACCAAAAGGACCATGCACCCTGTCCCCTCCAGCAACGACCAGCTTCCTCCTAGAGCCAGTATAGACGAGGTAATGTGTAGCTGCTGATCAGTCGACATCACACTCCCAAGGTAACAGAAGCGGGTGGTTGTTTCCAATACTTCAGCACCAATGCTGATTCGCGGCAATATTGAAGATTGCACCTCCGGTGAAGGCTGAAAGAGACAGACAGTTTTGCTTGTGTTGACGGTGAGCCCGAATTTGGCCGCTGTCGAAGCCAGAGCACTAGTCATGTGCTGCAGCTCATCCGCGCTGTGTGAAAACAACGCACAGTCGTCAGCAAACAGCAACATACGGATAGTTGTCTCACAGACTAGAGTTCTCGCACCGAAACGACGGATGTTCAGCAACCCACCATCAATACGGTGCTCCACACGAACACGGTAAGCACAAACGGCATCAAAAGCACAAGACAACATAGCATGAAGATATATATTAAACAGGGCAGGAGCTAAGACACATCCTTGCTTCACACCAGAGACAACTGTAAAGTCATCCGAGGTCTGTCCACTCAGCTGCACCCTCGCTCGCATACCACTGTGCAGACATTCAATTAAACTTACAAACTTACGCGGACAACCAAACTTACCCAACATCAGCCACAATGCCTCGCGGTTCACCGTATCAAATGCCTTGGTGAAATCAACAAAAAGTGAGTACAATGGCTGGTGTCGTTCTCTGCACTTCTCTTGCAACTGACGAGCCGCAAACACCATATCTATAGTGCTGCGACCCGAACGGAATCCGCATTGCTCTTCCGCCACGTTAGGTTCCACAACCTGACTGACGAGGCGGTTGAGCAGGATTCGGGCAATCACCTTGCTCACACAACTCAGCAAGTTGATGCCACGATAATTCGTACAACATTGCTTGCTACCTTTGCCCTTGTACAGTGGTAGCACAAGGGCATCCTTCAGCTCAGGAGGCACCTCCTCCTCAATCCACAGGCGTTGCACCAAGTGGTGCAGCGCAGTCAACAACGCGGGTCCGTCGTGTTTCAATACTTCAGGCGGGATCCCGTCGGCCCCGGCACACTTGCCGTTTCGCAGCTGAGCAAGTGCTCTCTGCGTCTCATCCAGTGTCGGCGTGTTCGCCAGATTCGCCTTCACATCGTGCTGCTTCAGGCCGTTCAATGTAGGCCAGTCGATCTCTGAACGGTTGTTCAAGAGACAGTCAAAGTGTTTTCGCCAGATCTGCATTATGTCTGCAGTCTGTGTGCAGGTAGCGCCTGAACTACCATCCATCAGCGTCCTCAGCGGCTCCAATCTCGGTCCATACACCGTCTTCTAGGAGTCAAAGAATTCCTTGTGTTGGCGGCGTTCGGCGTAGCATTCCACCTGCTTCGCCTTCTCCGTCCACCATGCATTTTTTATGCGACGGAGCTCTCGGGTCAGTCGCCGTCGAAGTTTGCGAAACTGACTACTCTTTCCCAAGTCACTGGGGTCTGCAACATGTGCAGCAAATGCTGCATTCTTCTCCGACACCAATGCGCCAATCGTCGCATTGTTGTCTTCAAACCAATCAGGCCGCTTACAGTTTGCGCGCCCGATGGTCTCCTTGGCAGCAGCTGTCACCTGGTCGCGAATGTGGTGCCACAGGTCGCCCACTGTGGCTATGCAGTCCACATCACACAGGTGTGCAGCCATCGCCTTCTCCAGCTCAATACGTTTCGCCACAGTACCGAGGGAGAGAATGTTACATTTACGCCGATTCACGGCGGGAGTGCAATACATAGATTTAGGAAAATATATGTACAGTTTGGTCCGCACCAAATTGTGATCAGTGCCACACTCAGCTCCACACAGTACACGTGTCCTGCGCACTTCACGCATATCACGCTGACGTACGATGACATAGTCGAGCAGGTGAGCGTGACCACTCCTTGGGTGCGTCCAGGTTGCTATATCACTCGCACTCAGTGCAAACCGAGTGTTCGTGATCGTCAGGCCGTGAGTGGCACACAGTGAGAGCAGCCTATCACCGTTCGCATTCGCTGAACCAATGCCATGCGCACCGATAACATCTGTCCATGCTGATGCATCACGCCCAACGCGCGCGTTGAAATCACCCAGCAGAAATAGTCGGTCGCTCCTCGGCACAGACCGTATCACGGAGGATAGCTCAGTGTAGAACTGATCACGCGTGTCATCAGGGTAACACATGGTCGGACCGTACGTGCTTATAAAAGTAGCAAACTTACCTCTTCCGAGTCCTAGGCGAACAGTCATCAGTCGCGCGCTGATGCCCGTTGGTTCACCCACCAGCTGGCCATTCAGGCGATCGGATATTGCAAATCCGACCCCATGTTTACGTGGTGCTGAGGCGGCGTTGCTCACCCAGTAGAATGTGTAGCCAGCACCTGCTTCATGCAACTTACCTTGCTCAGCGAGCCGGGTTTCACTGAGCGCCGCAATATCGATGTGGTAGCGCGCCAGCTCCATCGCGACCATTGCAGTGCGTCGCTCCGGGCGCTCGCTGGAGTTCCGGTCCAGTAGTGTGCGCACGTTCCAGCACCCGATGCTGAGTGCTTTGCGCGCAGGCATACGATTGCATTGGTGGGCAATCGCACGTGATGTGGTCGTTGTGCTTCGGAGGTTTGCTTGAGGGACTCCGCCCGGAGCCTTTGGCTCAATAGCTTGACCCACAATGCAGTGGGTGATTTGGAGGTTTGCTTGAGGGACTCCGCTTGGAGCCTTTTTTCAGTAGCCTGACCCACAAGGCAGTGGGGAGCAGATACAGCTCGGGAATGTGATTGCAGAGACAGATAGGGATCTGCTTGACGGCCGCTACACGCAGCCTTTGAGGTTCTGGAACGTTTTATATATGTTTTGCGATCGTAGTGGGATACGCATCTGCGACCACGGCCAGACGCAGGTAAGTTTTGGCGGGTTTGCACCAATTTGACCAGGGGCTGCCTGGCTTGAGGCGGGCAGTAGCAAACCATTGAACACCCGGAGGTGTCCTCCCACCGTCAGAGACAATGCGTGGCGCTCGTGCTCTACGCCAATCGAGCTGTAAGCTTATAACCCGTAGACCTGTTGTCTCCCATGGCTAGGTTTTACGGGAAGTGGGCCATCGACCACTTCCTAACCTCCAAAGAGGATGGACTAGGATACTGCCAGGGCGCCACACCTGACAGTAGAACGACTCGGGTCCTCAGCCAAAGACTTCGATTAAATGAACACCCGAAAGGCAGCGGGTCTAGCACATGGTCAGTTCACTGACTCATGCAGGTTGGTGTCCTGGATCTTAGCAGGGAGAAGGGCGAAACCCAAATCCCACCCAGCGGTGGCCACGAGGAGGCGCCCAGGATATGAGCAAGTGGCACAACAGTAGCAACAGTGGGTAGACCATCTGTCAGGATCTAGCCACCACCAACCTCAGCACACCATAGGCTCTCCCGCCATATATATATATATATATATATATATATATATATATATATATATATATATATATATATAATTTTGTGCCAAGACGGTTAGGGGTTCTTCCAGGAGCAAGTAAATTCGGCCAGGAATACTCGTTGTTTCGATGGGAAAACGATTTGGGCCAGCGGTCCACAGCCGATGCACGAATTTTTTTCATCAGCATTCGCTTCTATCACATTACCCTCACCTGCATTCTTATTGACTAGTGGAACCGAATAACCAATCATGCCAGCTGACCTATCTGTTTTGGAACACCAAAAGTCGTGGGTTTACCTGTAAATATCCCTCCATTTAACACCTAGCCCCTACAACACGATTTTGTCTCTGGATGTTGACTGATATTTGGAGCTAACAGTGGACGAACTCATTTCAACCGGAGTCGCATACAAAGGGGCAGATTTAACAAATGGCGACGGAGCTTACTGGCTGACTGTGAATCAAGCACCCACCTTTTTAGTTATTGCGTCCATTGCTTGGCCTTTCCTGAACTGATGCGTCATGTGAGTTGAAGCAGCACTCTTGCGCTCTCC